TGTGATGATGTTGGTGGTGGAGGGGGGGGGTTATTGAAACGGTGCGTTCTCTCGGCCAATGAGATGCGTTCGGTCCCATTCTTGCACAGGCCCTTTTTCCTAACCCCTGCACCTCTGCGTATATATATATAAAAAACAGGGTCCCGTTTCGAATCTTGGGCCCTTTTTTTTAAAAACCCTCAACTATATCGAAAATCCCACAACCAGCAGCACTTCAGTGCGCCCTCATCCGTCGGGACAGCAACAACCCCAAGAACAAACTCACACATCGAAACAATCTTTTGAAAAACTTTTCGAAATCGTGCGTTCATCTGAAACTTAGTGATTCGCGAAATAACGTTTATCCAATTTTTTTGTTGTTGTTGTTGTGAATCTATCTTACGGATGCGTTGTCTCTCGTTGCAGTGATTCTATCAAAGACGAAGAAGTGATCCGCGATGGGTACCAACGCCCAGCAATACTGCCTTCGGTGGAACAACCACCAGACGAATCTGCTCACGGTCTTCGATGAACTCCTGCAGAACGAAGCCTTCACCGATGTGACGCTCATCTGTGAGGGAGGCAGCCACGTCAAGTGCCATAGGATGGTGCTGGCCGCTTGCTCTCCGTACTTCCAGAACATCTTCACTGTGACAACGTGCAAACATCCAGTTGTGGTCCTCGACGTTAAACTCGCAGAAATCAAGGCCATCCTCGAGTACATGTACAGGGGTGAAGTGAACGTGGCACATGATCAGTTGGCGGCGCTCCTGAAAGTGGCTGAAACCTTCAAAGTGAAGGGTTTAGTGGAGGAGAGTCGCGGCAGCGGGAATGAAGACTTGAATGAAGAACCTAAGCATTCGCCGAAGGGCGTGAGCCCATCCAGCACAAACAACAACAATAACAACAATCCATCCAACGTGCACAGCAGTAGCAGTAACAACAATTCACCACCGCATTCGACGAACGGCATCCACTACAAGAATCATTACAACATGTACGCGAAGGGTCAGCAGGAACGCAGAATGAGTATGCCTATGTGGACAGTGCCAGGATTACCGATGCCTCATCACCAAGCCCCAATACCGCAACAGAACCACGCAGCGGCCGCGGCGATGCTCAACAGCTGCTACGAAGCCGGTCCAGATATGAACTCATCGAAACGCAAGAAGTCATCGAGTTTGGGAATGAACCGCGATACACCAATTTTGAGGACCGTCCTTGGATTAGCAGATTCCTCTCAACCCGTGAGTCTCGTTTGCCACGGTGGAAGCAGCAGTCCCGACAACATCAACTCCAACGGAATCGAAGAACGACACGAAAAGGTAAGCGACACACATTTGACACACGTTGGAAGCAGATTAGTAATTTATGAATACCTTTTGAAGCACATTAAGAACGAACCTTCGGAAAACGCGCAATCACCCTACACCGATCTCTCAATGATGGATGATGATGATAAACTGAAGATGCCACCGTCGTCGCCGCACGCTTATCCTGGTGATGTGCGCGGCGTCTCCGGCATCGCCACCTACGTCCCAAGCAATCAAAAACCCGAATGGAAACGATACAAGCAATATACAAGAAACGACATATTATCCGCAATCGAAGCCGTCAAGAACGGGATGTCCGCTCTGCAAGCCGCCAAAAAGTACGGTGTCCCATCGAGAACGTTGTACGATAAAGTCAAGAAGTTGGGAATAACACCGAACAAGCACTTCAAGCGCGGCTCGAACGGCAGCAGCGTGTGCTTCCCGTACGGCATCAGCGGCACCAGCTCCCCATACATGGACGGATCCGAAGAGAGCATGAACAACAATTCGTCCCTGCTCGAAGCCAACAGCATCCTTCAGCACGCGTTGGACAGCAGAGGTGGCGACGAAAGGGAAGCTCTCGCCGCTATGGCAGCAGCAGCCGCAGCGCACGCCGCCCTTTCAGGACACGGACAACAAGACCACAACTTGGCGAGAAGTCCCAGCCCCAGTCCGACGCTCATCAAATACATGCGAATGAACAGTCTGACGCCGTCGCCTGCCCCAGGAAGCGAACACAATCACAGCGAGACGAACGGCAGCTCCGAACGCGATCGCGAAGAGGAGGACGACCACGTCGAAGATCTCAGCGTGAGCGCTCGGAAGCATCAGGAGTCGCGCGTCATTATGCCACCGATGAGCATGTCCTCCATCATCAAGAAAGAGGAGATGCTCAAGGAGACGCTGCGAGAGGAGATGCGCCGTGAGGTAAGCGTCGAAAACGCCGAATAAAAAAAAAGATACACAAAAAAAAACGCAATCCAACAACAACATCCCCAAAAAGACAAACCCCCCATACCCCCCCCCCCCAACAAAAAAAAAGACAATTTGACACATCTCGCGGATTCTTAACAAAAAAACAAAAAAAAAACGAACACAGAGACAGACCGAGCTGACCAAGAGTTTTAAACGATCCAGTGTTAAGTTTTTTTTCCTCTTTATTATTATTATATAATATAAATATATATATTTTATGTATTTGGTTGCATAATGCCAGACTGAGATCAGTGCAATATGTTTATTATTTTTATTTTTATATATATATACGTAATACTATTATTATTATTATTTTCTTTGAATTTACTATCTGTGGTTTTCACCTCACCCGTACTCACGTTTCGTAGCCTTAAGTTAAAACCGATTCTTTGTTGTTCTTATTATTATTATTATTATTATTAAATATTATAGATTAATACTATAGAAGATGAAAAAAAAAGCATACAATATTTATCATTGTCTTATCTCAGAGTGCCTGTTTGTTGTCCATCATATTTTAAATAATTAGTAGGCGAGAAGAAAAACAAAACTGAAACGAAAAAAAAACAAAACACACACACGATGCATATATAAATATATATATATATATAAAGAAGACGTAATATGTAAGAGTAAGCACGGGACCATGTTTGCTACAGGTTCCTCTCGTTGGAATATTATGTAACTTTTAAGACTGATAGGATTATATAGATTTATATATAAAATATATATTGAAAGCAAGGAAACGAAGAAACGATAGTTATTAATGGGGCGCCTTCCGCCCCCCTTCTTTTTCTTATTATTTCTTTCGTTTTTATTTCTTTTTATTTTATAATGAGACTGAAATTATTATATATATATTATATATATAAAAGTTTGTGCGTGAAAAGACGTTTTTTTTTTTTCGTTTTCTCTCTTTTCTTTTTGAAATGCAACATGCAATTTGTATAGATGTAAATAAACGACAAATGACCGATATTCACAAACAAGCAAAAAAAAACACAAGGCAAACGAACGATCTTTCTAAGAAAGATGTAAATAAGTTTTAATATAAATTTAGGTAAATGAACATAAATAAATAAATAAATAATTGAACAGAACGCCAGAGGCCTCCTCTATAATGAACTAAAAAAAAATCAGCAAACAAACAAAACACACACACACACATACACAGCATAGTAAAAACAATAGTTTTAATTGAATGTGATTATTATTAATTAATTGTACGGATAGAGTTTAACGATTATATAAAATATATTTGTATGTAGTTAGGGATTCATTAAATTGTAGGAATTTTAGATTGTAAACAAAACAAAAACAAAAAAAAGTAAACGTATTTTTTTTCCTCTAATTATTATTATTATTATCATTATTATTAAATTTGGTGGTTTTGGGTTTCGAAGAGTGCCGTGAAAAAAAAAATAAGAAGAAAAACAAAAAAAAAATAGAAATATTTTGTATCGACGATTTGTAAGATAAAAATTGACGTTTAGGCGAATTTATGTTTTTCTTCTTCTTTGACTTCTGTTGTTGTCGGCCAATCAATAATTTGTAACAATTAATAACGATTTGTAATAATTCGATCGCACCACTTTTGTTTTTTCGAAACGTGTTGTTGTTTTTTTTTTCTCTCTTTTTTTTTGTTGTTGTTGTTGTTGCACAAGTTCCATCGCCGCCGCCGCCGCCCCCCCAGATAGCTGTGATTTACTAGACTGAACACCACAACATTTCACTACACAAATGTACCATTACAAAAACACACACACACACATCCGCACAGAGTGGAGATGAGAAAGAGAGAGAGATCTTTGTTTAAAAGATGGATTATTAATAACAAACAAATAAATAAATATATTTGGACTGATTTCGGCTCTAGTCTCGTCCTTTGCAGCAGCAGCGGCAGCTCAAAGAAAAGTGTGCTCAATTTCGATCACCGAACGCGAGTGATCAAAGTTTTTAAACGATCGGACAAGACTGAGACGACGATTGATTGCAATATAAATCATATATATTTTTTATTTTGTTGTTGTTGTTTCGCAACAAATTAGTGTGAACGTGGACCAATATTACCGTGCATTATTGTTTCACACAGCGTGCCTTCGAGACACGGAACGAAGGATTATTATTAATTTTTATTACATGTAATTCTTTCGTCGTAATTGTAATTTATTTAGACCACATTCCATCCTTCGTTTCGGTTATCGACGATTTGATTTGTTCTATTTCTTTCTTTATAAACCAATTCGAATTTGCGCTACTAAAATTCGATTTAAAATTTAAAACTTTTAAATAAAAATGACTATGTAATAGACAAAGAGAGAGAGAGTGTAATCAAAAGAAAATGAAAGAATCAGCAGTTGTGTTTAACTGATGTTGCCATTTTTATTTAAGACTGATTATTTCGTGTTTTTTTTTTTAATTATTATTATTTTGTTTGTTAATTATGTAAAGAATACTATTATTATTATTATACTTGTAATTATCGCTAATATTTTTTATGATGTTTCAAAGATAATAAACACCAGAAAACCAGACAGGATCTCTTGTAATTGTAACTACATACTATTGTTTAATTGTTTGTTTTTCTTTTATATTAATTAATTAATCAATCAATTAATTAATTATGATTTTATTTTTATTTTTTTTTTATACTGTTACGAGTTGATTACCAATTTCTCGATGCAAGCATTCACCAACTACCTCATTATACCTAAACAAATATAGAAACTATATTTACAACTGAAAGTGCATAGATTTATATTAAAATGAAATATATTATATTCCTATATAAGAGTTTTGTACATAAATAAATAAAGAAATAAATAAAGGAATGAAAGAGCGGTTCGTTTTCTTCTACATATTTTCTTTTTTCTACTTTTCTTCGAATATTCTACTTTTAGGAAACAATTTCGACTAAATAATAATTGAAATAATTAATCCTTTTTAATAATTTTAACGTACTTTTTTTTTTTAGAAAATTTTTCCTATCTACTATAATAATTATTATTATTTTTTTGTTCTAATCGTAATCTATATATATATGTTACTATTACAATTGTTAGTTATAGTTGTATATTGCACTGCACGTATGTAATGCATTTAATTATTATGTAAGTATCTCGAACAGATAATAAAACTGAAATCTATATAGAATATTTCTCTTTCCTGTTTTTTTTACTCTCTACGCTTCAATTCGATTCGCTTTTCACCCTCTCGTCCTCTCTGCAAATCATCCAAAAAAAAACACACCTCATCTTTTCCCTGCAAATAATTTCTTTTTGTTAAACAATATTTATCTCACAGCTGAAACTGTAGATGAATAAAACAGAATTTGTAATTTGCATTTCTTTAAATTTAAGAGAAAATATTTATTTATAAATTTTTCCAGAATGAAATTTGTAATTATTTTCTAAAAAACAAAAGAGAGATTTATTGTCGTTTCTGCTACAAATCATTCAGATTTGCGGTGAAATCAAGACTTGAATTTTATTATTTCTAAATATTAATTTTAGTTAATCTAAAAACTGTTTGCTTCATCATTTCCAGTTGAAAGTGAGATTTTAGTAAATAATTTAGATTTGTGATGAAGGTAAAGTATTGTATCTTTTTTTTTATAAAATATTGTTCAAAATAATATTTGAACGAAATTTTCGTTAATAAACATCGCAAATAAAATTGTTTATCATGACGCTAATGAAACAGTGTGCAGTTGTGAGAAAGAGGTAAAAAGAAGTAGCAAATTTCTCGAGAACTTATTTTTTTTTTGTTCGTGAATCTTTCAAAATTCTTTGAGCAAATGCGATTTTCTTTCAGCCCTTTCACTCACATTTTTTTTATGTGTATATGTTCGAGCAGTAAGGATCGAAAGGGTTCTCTTGTTATTGTTGTATTTTTTTTTTATCTCTCTCCTTGGATTCCGTTAAGATGGACATAAAATTCGGTGATAATTAGTGAATAATACTACCTGCGGGTTTGCTCAGCTTCAAACTCTTTTTTATTGCAGTTTTATTGCCATTCGGTGTCCTCTTTCAAATGGTTTGTTGTGCGAGAAATCCTTTTTTACGGCCTAGGATAAATTTTTTTTTAGCAATAAACGCACGATGGTCGAAGATGGTGCAGAACAATGAGAAAATAAAGCAAGGGTTGTACATAAAAAAAAACAAGCAAGGATTAAGTCGAGACGCGTCGGGAGTCTCAAACAAAAATTAGAAAACACGAGATTATTAGCACCTCCGCTAATCCTTTGAAAAAGAACGAATTCCAAGCAAAACAATAATAAAAAGTAATAGGATAGTTCGCATCTCAGAAAGCTCTAGTAAATTTACAGAACAAATTTGTTTTTTTTTTTAGTTTGTGCTGTATTTCCGGTTTTTTGCGAGCTGAAAGTTTTGTGGAAACTCGACGCAGGAATTCGATGTGGAAAACGGAGGACGTGATGAGATAAGGCCGTTTTATGATCCAGATTTTGGAGGGTAGGCAGGTAGAATTTACCTAAGATATGGGGAAGGTTTATGGGCCGAAACCGAGCAATAATTTTTGCGCAAAGTGCAGACCTCCCCCCCAACAAAACGAAAAATAGAAACCCTATTTGCATTCCTCGATTATTATTGCCCTCAATTTGGGTATAACTAGGTTTACTCATCCGAAGTAGCAGTTATTACTTCACACCTCAGCTCCAGTAAAGAAGGGACACAAAATAGGGGCTCGAAAATCTCTTATACAAACATCCCTTAATTCATACAATATGCACACTCCGTCCAGAAGTATTCACGTAAATCTCTAAAGCGATATTGAATCGTAAATTTCCTATTCTAATTCACTGTAAACAAGTATTATTACAAAAGAAAACACTTGCAAATTTGATTATTTACATATAGATTAACCCTTTGAGGACTAGTGGTTACTAGTTGTAAACCATACTGTTAAGTGTGTTTCTTCTAGTAATCATATTCTGTAGTATATTTTTTTATAATTTGTTGTTATTTATATTAATAAACATATAATATATAATGACTTTTGTTTGTTAAAAATTATTAATTAAGAATTCCGGCTTAAAAAGGTTAAAATGCAACTAATATTGATAAAAATGTGTACTATTTAAACACAAAAATACAGCAAAAACGTGTTGAAATTTCAATGTTGAAGTTTATAGGTCAGGTAAGAATATTTTACTAAATATTGGGGTCAATTTTATTGGTCGTCCTTGCTACCATTTTTTCGGACTATTGAAAAAAAAACCGCAAAAAATGAATGCAAAAGCGAGACGAACTTTTATTGCCGTCAATTTATGTAAAATAGGACCTTCGGGTCCGAAACGGTAGCGCAAAAAGTGCTCAATACACAATGGCAGCGTTTTATTATGTTTACATACAATTTGCATGCAACTACAGATTTATAAGTTCATAAAAATAAGCAAAACCAAACCCCCACTTCATAAAAATGGACGTTCTTTTCGGTCTCTTTTTTCAGAGAATCGGTGGCAAATTTTCTGAAAATTATTGCTCTTTTCAATTTAGCCATTTATTTTTGTTGAAATCATTCATGCACTTTCATCAACTACCTTAATTACTAAATTTATTCTTGAAAAAGATTGCAATAATATTTTAAAAGAAAAATGTTAATGACATTTTCCAAAATATGATAAATGAATATTCAAAGTTTTATTATTAATAATTCGATCAAAATGTATTGTCGAAATATTTACTCTAAATGTGACAATTAATTATGTTACAAACAAGTTGAGGTTTTTAAAATTAAGAAATATTATGTCTTAATTATTCAATTTAATTATTATATACATTTATTGTTGTGTTTATTTTACCATTTGATTTTTTAAGAAAATTTTAAATTAATTAAAATTTTACTATAACAATTCTTATGTAACATTACTTTAAATCTTAAATATGTAAGTAATGCGAATGTTAACATTGCTTTTCATTGCATTAAGCATTGAAGAAGCTGACAAAAGAATTAAGTAGTTGTTTAATTGAAATGGATTATGTGTCTATTGTATATTCTTCAGGATGCGTGAGTTAAGCGTGTGAGGGCACGTTAAAATTTAAACGGACTGTTAAAGTGGTTATGCAACCAAACTATCCTATGAAGTTATCAATATGAAGAGTAGATGTCGTACCTGTAGAGTCGTACGATGTGACGTCAAATCACCAGATCCATCGTGAGCTCGCTGATTCGCTGACCGCAGTCTTCGTGATCTGCTGGAGTATTTTGATTTCGGTGAGGCGTAGAATCCAAGTGTTTTGCGTTCTGCAGGTGAGATTTTCCGCGATGGCTGAAAACAGCAGCCAGTTCTCCGCTGGAGACACCTTCGACATGAGCGAAATAAGCAGCATAGATGGTAAGCACATAAACAACAACATTGCATCACCATTAACAACAAACAACAATAATAACAAATGCTTTGCAGAGCTGCTCAAAGACTACGATTCAGAGATCCTTAACAACAGCCTGCTGTTCGCCAACGATGGACTGCTCACGCAAATCGATGATGGACTGCTCACACAAATCGATGATCAATTGTCAATGGACACATTCCCATTGGATTTAGATGGAATGCAGAACAATCCCTTTATGGACTCGAGTAGTCTCTCACCAAATTCCCTGTACACCACTCCGCAGGTGTCTCCAGAGTTTGTTCAGGCTTCTCCGACGCATCAGCAGACATACAGTCCTGTAAAGCAGGACGTGCCGCAGAAGATGCAGCAGACTTTTCCTGTGAAATTGGAGCAGATAGTGCATCCTCCGCAACCTGCAACTGTAATAATTTCATCACCAAACATAATTCAGCAGACCACAGAGCAGATGGTTTACTCACAGATACCAAGGAGCCAACATTTAATAGTGCAAACTAGCAAGCCGAAGATGAACACCCAACCGTTGTTGGTGCAGAACATAGGCCAATTGGACAAAATTCAACCTGTCATTGTTCAAACTAAATTAATTAAAACTGAGCCTCAGAATATTCAGCCAGCCACTGTTATGTACACGACGACTCCAGTGACCACATCGAACACTCAAGTGCACACATTGATAAACACAAATGGTCAACTTTTTACTACAGGAATACCTTTGGTTTTGGATCAGGAGAAGGTGGCTATCAACAGGATACAGACCACTGGAAAAGAGCCTAAAGTGAAAGAGGTGAAGAGGAGCGCTCATAACGCGATCGAGCGTAAATACAGGACGAGCATCAACGATAAAATCGTGGAGCTGAAGAATATCATTGTGGGAGTTGACGCCAAGCTGAATAAATCGGCGATTTTAAGGAAGACCATCGATTATATCAGATTCCTACAGAACAGCAATACTAAATTGAAGCAGGAGAATATGGCTTTGAAGATGGCTGCGCACACGAACACGTTGAAGGACCTTTTGGTAACAGGATGTGCGACTGAAGATATCCACATGACGAGTTTCGTCACGCAGAACACTCCACCACCTTCGGACGTATCTTCTCTTTCGCCTACGCATTCTGTTCCTTCCAGTCCGGAGTATTCTGGACAGCAGTTCAAGGAGGATAGCGAAGACGAACCTATGGGAATTACAAGAGGAATGTTGGATCACTCGAGGATCGCGCTTTGCATGTTCATGTTGGCAGTGGTCTCTTTCAATCCATTTGGAATAGCTTTGAATACAATCTCTGGTAGCGACCATGACTTTTCAACAAGGAAAATCTTGCAATGTAATTGGAACCGAATTAGTTTATCTATACGTTTCATTAAATTCTGTTTCTTACGTAGATGGAGAGAGCGGTTCTTTAGCATGGGGAAGCTCGGTTCTACTACTCTGGCTCATAAACCTTTTGGTACTTGGCTTCTGCTTTGTCAAGATGTTCGTGTACGGAGATCCCATAGTTCCATCCAAGTCCAAAGAGGCTCAGATCTTCTGGAGACATAAAAGACAAGCCGATTCATACATGTGCGAAGGCGACAACGTCAGAGCCAAGCAGGAGCTGAAGAGGTGTTTGCAGACGTTCGGGTTATCTCTACCGACGAGCCGTTTCGAAATGTTCACCTCGTTCACCTGGCAAATGGTCAGACAGATCTTCCACAGACTCTGGATAGGACGTTGGTTGTCCAGGCATACCGGCGGCTTCATGGCTGACGGGTAAATTTTAAAGAAAAAGCAACAGACAAAATGTCATATCTAATATTACATCTGTACATTTCAGACTGACGAAACACGAAGCCTTGACATCTTGCCGCGAATTGGCAATGGTTTATCACAGATTGAACCAGATCCACTTGGTCGAGGGTCGCTCCGATACCAGCCATCTGACCGGCCTAGTTTTGGCCTTGAACTCTGTGAATTTGGCGGAAGCTGCTGGAGCAATGCTGCCGCCCATTCAGCTGATTGAAATCTACGTTTGCGTTGCACTGCGCGTCAAAGCCAGCTGCTACAATTTCACCCAAGGAATTCACCGGTAAAAAAAAACACATTATGCAGCTTTCACACAGACACTCAACTAGTTAAGACTTTCTTCATACACCTAACTTAATCAAAACGTAGACATAATAAAAATAAAACATTCCCACTAACAAACAATTCACATATACATATTCAAAAGTACATTTATTCATATAAGAACTACGAGATTTATTTGCGATATTAATTTTCTTAAATGTGTCTACTTTTTCTTCTCGTATATTACTACTAAAGGTGCTACTTAAATTTGGCAAAGCAAGCGACGACGAACGCCTGCGATCCCATCCCGTCGAGATTGAAGTGGATCTTCACGTCATATGGTCATAAATTCTTTACAGCCCAGAAGATTGTCTCCTTCGAAGAAGAGGAGACGCATAAAGTGCTCGTTTATAGCAGCGAGGGGAATAAATCTGATCCGATTGCGTTCGTAATCAGGGTGAGTAAAAAAAAAATGAAACGAAAGATAGAAAAAAGGATTATTTTTTTGTGTGTTCATCAGTTATACAGGGAGCATCTGATTGAAAAGGCGTTGCAAAATGTGGTGGCTCCCGGCACCAAGAACGACGATGAGAATCTTAGAAAGTCCACCCACGCTGACGCTTTGAACTACATTCAATTACTTTTCGAGAGCGTTGAAACGGACGTTTCTACCATCTTCAATTCCACTGTAATTCACAGTACGTTTAATCCTTAATTTTATTTTTTGATGTTTTTTTTTTAATAACTGATTGTCATGGTAGAATACGACGATGAAATCGCCAATTGGTGGACCAATATCATAGCTTGCGCATGTTATTGGTTGTTGGGTGAGGAGAGCAACGCGGAGAGGCTGTACTCGAAGGTGGAGAATTTACCGCAGGTTTTGGAAAACTTGAACGATCCTTTACCGAAGGCCATCCTCGCTGCTTACATGGCCAGGAAGGCTTACATTTCGCGCGAGACCAGCGATCAACATGTTCTCAAGCAGTGCGAATTCGCGAGCCAATTGATCGAGGATAGCCTCACCTTCAACAGCTGCAAAAAGCAAAACAACAAAGTTCTGGTTAGTAGCATAAAGAAATCAGTTATTTAATAACTATCAATATCTATATTAAAGTAACAGATATCAACGTTTAATAGTTTATAATCTGTAGCGCAAAGCAACAAGTGTTTAATTACTTTCACTCTGATATCAACTTGGAACTGTTACTACCATCGCTTTAATGTTGTTTCGCCGTAGATTAGACGCCGCATGATTTAATTTTTGTATTATTTATGTTTTCGATTTTTTTTTGGTTTCGCTTGGGTGCATTGTAGTTGCATTGCATTGTGTTTTTGGAATGTGCAATGTTCCTTCAGTGCAGCTCAAGCGAGCCCAGTTTTTCTGCATTCGTCGTAGTCGTTCTCTCATCAATTTCCTTTCCACACAAATCCGAATACTTTTCTCTCATTTTCTTTATTTCCTCCGTAGTTGACGCAGCTGATGGTGTGCGATTGGCTTCTGGAGACGCAGACGGCATTGTGGGAGGAAGGGTTGGAAGCGGATTCCAACAACGGCCCCGTCTCAAACGCCATTCTATCCGCTTTCCAGAAGGATTTGACGTCCCTGCGGAGTTTAGCCCAGTACATTCCGGTGAGTATTTCTAGGATTTCTCTCCTTTTGTATGGACGATAATGGTCGTTGCTTGCAGTCCGCTCTTCCACGCGTGTTCTTATACGAGGCTACGTCCAGGTTGATGGCCGGAGCGGCCCCAGGTCGCACTCAGCAGCTTTTGGATAGGAGTTTAAGACATCGATATTCAAAATCATCTATAATCTGCGGAAAAGGTAATAACGCATAGTTCTATAACATTAACAATATTCATTAATTTTCTTTCACAGACAAGAATCAGCAGGATTTTGGCGGCGAAAGGCAGCACGCGGCAGCTTTGTACATGGCCTGCAAACATCTTCCTGGACAACTGATTTCCTCTCCTGGCGAAAGGGCCGGAATGCTCGCCGAGGCTGCGAAGACTTTGGAGAGGATCGGCGATAAGAAGCGGTTGCAGGATTGCTACAAATTGATGAAAACCTTGGGTCCTAATTCGGTTACAAACTAATGATTTTATTTTTCTTTAACTGTATAAAGTATTTATTTTATACTTTCTTGTAAGTATTTAATTTTATTTTCTTAACGCTTTAATGATCTCGTTCCCTATATAGATTGGATAATGTCATGTCTATATAGAAATATTGAAAATATGGACGGGATTTTAGTCAGTACCTTATTAGTTAAGTGTAGAAAGAGTAATAATAGTTAAGTTTCGTCGAAGACGCATATTCTTAAGTTTGTATTTTATAAATTTATTATATAACCAATCAAAAATACTTTAATCTTGGTATTATTACAAATTATCCTTATCCTCTCATGTTTTCCGTTAGTCTTCAAAATTTCAAACATTATATTTTAAACCAGTTGCTATAAGTCATGTTTTTTAAGATTGTTTGAGAATTTTAATAAATTCATAGAATATTTCTAAACATCGTATGATTCAACACATAAACTTCTGAAATTGAATGAAAACTGTCTTAATTTGAAATGTAATTCATCAAATTTAATAAATCGTTGCAATTTGATTAACGACTTGTCCAAAATGAGGCAGATTTTTTTTTGTCATTATTTAAATTGAAAGCTTTCAGCATTTGTGTTTTCTCAATTTGATATAAAACACATTTCAATTAAATGAAAGTTTTTGCGTCTGTTGACGATAAATCGATGCGTAAATGTGCCGCGTTTTACTGTACGAGCTTAGGGCGCACTTAGCATTCGAGGTCGATGCATTATTGGTATAATTAGGTGCGCCGTAAAACGAAGTTACTTAATTAATTTTCAATTAGGGCAGAGATAAAATTAAGCGTATCGAAATTATGTCGGGATGACGAGAAGACGCTGTTTATGTGAGATGGGTTTTTGGTTTGAGACACTGCGAGTGGGTAGAAGAGGAGGATGAGGATGAGAAGGATGAAGATGAGGCAGTAATTCTATTAGGAGGTCTTCTTCTCTTTTGATTAATGGAAAATAGCTTTCGCGTACCGTAGAAGACAATTATCTTTAACTGCTAAGAGAGCATTTTATAACGCGACGGAGGAAGACAAAAACGGGGGGTGGCTATGAAAAAAAAAATGCGCAAAACGGTTGGGTTTGAGGGGGGGTGGGGTCTCGGGGTTTCCAGAACAAAACGCGAAATATAAATGGTTTAACTCAACTCGCGCAATTTGAATATATGTTTCGAGAAGTCGTAAATTTCGCGTAATACTCTTTATACGACTTTGCATTCTTTTACTCGGGAGTGGAAATATTACTACTTCATCATATCTCTATATACGTGTATATATACACGTTCGGCTGCGACCAACGTCTTATTTCGCCCTTAATTTCGTTCGCTATTAGCGTTTCGTTCGCATTAAATCCTCCAAACGAGCGTCGCAAACAAGCGAAAAATAATCCCCATTTGCATCAAATGCGCGACACGGGAACTTTTTTTTTTGATGAATTTACATTCATTCCACTGACGGATGAATAACATTACAACATTTCTCTGTTAGTTTTTGCAAATCTTGAATGCGCCCATTTCTTCATATAGTTTATAAAATTCGTATATAATGTTGAGTGCGTATTATATACGAATTTTATGACATTTGACATGTCATACGAAACTTCAACTTTCTTAAAAAAACAATAAACTAATCTACTACGTCAACAATTCATTCATTCAATATTGAAAATATTTTATTGTAAACCAATATAAAACGTGCGTATTATAATCGATATTAAAAGTTTATAATTAATATAATATACATTAAAGAAATAAATCATCTAAAGTATTGCCATTTTGACAGTTTACAAATGTTTAATAACAATTGAACAGATAACAAAAATGTTGCCTACTTGATACTTAACAAGAAATGTTGAATCGGGTAGCCGGTTTACGGTACGTGACGCAACGATGTCGCAAAAAGATAAACGTAGTTAATTTTCGATGGTAATCTGATTGATAAGAGCTGCAGGAAAGTTAGAGGACGCAAGTAGTTGTGTAAGTTTATGGAGAGGATGGGTAGTTAAGGGCCATTGAAAATCATTGCCGGTTTTCATTCCGACCAGTTTCTGGGATGCGATGTTGTGCAGTGCAGTACGTGCAGGCGAGCGCAAACCCACCTTGCCTCCTCTAATGTGCAGCAAATTGTTGAACCTCAGGTAATTTGAGGTAATGAGGCATCCCAATTTCCAGCGCTGATTACGCTCTCATTCATTCAGGACTTCATCTTCATCTCGTACGACCTAAAAACTTTGCATCATAACACGGAATAATTACACAAATTCGCGAAGGGAAACAACTTGAAAACTGTTTAGCGATTCAATGGGAACAATTCCAATTGGATTATCAGAAGATTATTTTCAATTTGTAGAATAATTCATTATTTTTTTTTTGGCAAATATTTTATATATTTTGTGCAAATGTTTTATATATTGGTTGCATAAGTTAGTAATTAATTGAAAATGCATGCAACCAATTGAAACCATATTCAACCTTTCGAGCTTTGAGTACAAGATGTCGCCACTAGTTACATCATGAATAAAATTATTATGTTAAGTACACCTATCCCTCGTTTTACACGATACTCGATTTACACGGTTTCTTGTTGCACGGTTTAAAAAAATTTGATTAGTAAATAAATGTTGAAAAAACGATTTACACGTTTTTCTCAAGAACCTATCTTGATAATTCACTTCTTCCAAGAGGAAACTAAATATTTACACTAATCTAGAAGCTTGATAGGATAAAATAAGCATAAATAAAAATATTCAATTGTTTTGGTTCCTTTGGAAATTAACAACAAACCAATAGGAAAGTAATTACGTGTACTAATGTGAAATCTTCAAACGATAAAATGAGCAATAATACATGTATGTAACTGCTTTAGTTTCTTCGTAATTTAAGAACAAACTTTGATCAATGACAAATAATTTCTTCTATTAATATTCTGAATATCTCGGACTGTTTGAAACCGGACTAATCGAGTACTTTAAAACCGCATAAATGCTGTAAGTTTAGAGGGGAAAAGTAAGTACTAATGTAGTCGATGTTTATATTTGGATGGGAATTTCAACTCATGCTAAAATAAATAAAAATTAATATATATATTTCCGTGTCGGCGTCTCGCTTCGAGCGGAATGTAAGTATTTGTTTAGAGATTTATTTTTCATAAAGCGGGAGTAGCAAAAGCAGAACCGAGGTTTGGGGGAAGAGAGAAATAAAGAAAGATTTATATCGGCTCTCAAAACCAATAAACGTGTTGACAAGACGTCTCAATCGCCTACCGTGTTTGCAGAAGAAACCCTCCATATAGATTGCCGCAGATATCATCTGTAGGAAAACACTTGGCGTCGCGACGCTCGCACACACATACACACACATTCGAGTCCATACAAACGTGGAGAAAGACAGAAGGGAAGCAGCAGGATCTCTCCTTTCAATTTCCTGCCGTCTTAAGGGCAGATTTTGCCCAAGGAGGAAAGAAAAGTATTTGAAATACACCTACACCTCTTCTTACCTTACCATCCTCATTCGAAACCTCAATAACCACGCATCCGAACGTCCTCGAAAGTAAGAGGCAATAAAAACGTAGATACGAGATGAGACGTAATATCTTGTGGAAGAAATTCAATTTTCGATTCTCCTATTATTATCTTACATTTAATAAATGCCATTCCGGATGTAATATTTATGAGCGACTCATTAAGCTGGTAAATAAAACGGCGCGAAGATTGCGCGCCAAATTTGAATTCGTAATTGGCGCATAATTTTCCGATTCGTTTCGTTTCGTTTCCATATTTTTTCCTTTTTTTTTTTCGCTGAGAAATCATTAATTATTGAATTTTCTCGACGGAGGAGCAGAAGAAAGAATTAGAACAAAGAAGTGGAAGGAAAACAGACGTTCGGAACATCAGAAGCGAAATGAAACAGGACAGAGTGGCGAATTAATTCCTCGCTCGACCGGATTATCATTTCTCGCATCCTTTGTTCTTCTCTCTTTTCTCTTCACTTCTGATCCTCAATCACCACTACCACCACCAACAGTAGTAGAAGCAGCAGCAGCAGCCGCAAGTCGAGTGGTCGACTGGAGTGGGTTTTTATATTCCTCATCTGCGCCTAACGGATGTGCCCTGATCTTTAAAAGATCACTCCTTTATTAAAGGCACTCCTCACTCTTCACTCTCTTCTTTCTCTCGCACTACATGGAGGAGCGCGCCTCCGACGTAGTCGCAATAAAACACACTGTCGCTCGAGTGTGAACAAAAAGCAACGGTTTAAGACCCCATCACTAAGAGGAACGGAAATAAAGCTGTAAATCTTCCAACGAATGCCACCTAACTACCTCTACTTACCGATCTGGAATCGCACACACACACACATTGACCACACACACTCACTCCTCCTTTTTTTTTCTTCCCGGTTGCAGTAAATATATATTGAATTTGGGTCATGAAATTTATGGAATTTCCACCAGAAGTCCGTTACAATTCACATCGAAACAAGTCCAGATTGTAGCTGCAGCATTAGCTACAGTCTAATTAGTCTAATTATATTGTTTATACTTTAATGATAATTTTATTTTCTAAAGATTTGTCAGGTTTTTTTTTCTGTAAGAATTTACTTATGTCAATTACTAAAGTTTGTTTTTAAATTGCGAATAAACTAAAGCAGCTACATACATGTTTCATTGCTTATTTTATTCCATGAAGATTCTATATTAGTAAACATTTTCAGTTTTTTGTTGGAAGAAACTGATTATCAAAATGCAGACCAATTTCCAAAACCTTATTTTCTGATCTGTCTTTTGTCATGAAGCAAAGTTTGTTATTAATTTCCGATCAAACTAAAGCAACTGGATATTATTATTTGTGTTTATTGTATTCTATAAATATTCTAAATTAGTATACATCTTTACTTTTCCATTGGTAAAAGCTCATTATCAAAATACAGACCAATTTCTAAAACCTTATTTTCTGATCTGTCATTTGACAAAAAGCAAAGTTTGCTATTCATTTCCAAACAAACTAAAGCAACTGGATATAATTATTTGTGTTTATTTTATTCTATGAAGATTCTAAATTTGTATACATCTTTACTTTTCTGTTGGTGGAACTTATTATCAAAATACAGACCAATTTCTAAAACCTTATTTTCTGATCTGTTATTTGTCATGAAGCAAAGTTTGTTATTAATTTCCGAACAAACCAAAGCAACTGGATATTATTATTTATGTTTATTTTATTCTATAAATATTCTAAATTAGTATAGATCTTTACATTTCCGTTG